TGAACGATCAGCAGAGCTTTATTTTACTGGAAAGGAGGATTATTTTATTTTTACCTACAAATCTAATTCTGCAGTGGAGCCGCAACAGGGCAGTAGAAGAGCCACATGTTGCCCCTGGACTAGTATTTTGCCATCTAAAAATTCCCATAAATGCATGCACAGTGAGATGAAAGCACAAAATAGCAACTGCGGTACGTTTGATCTTAAGAAGGTCACTAAAGGGCCACTGGGTCAATTTAGTAAACTGTGACCATGTAGAGTTTAATGCAAATTGTCAGTGCAAAATGTCAGATCTGCACCATAAACTCCAAACTGTAAGCTAAAATATCAGTACTGCACCAATCGCAGAACCCTTTTTGGTGTTTAATAGGACCATTTTCAAAAAGGTTCTATATAGAATTGGCCCTGCTGAGACTCTGCGATACGACCACTGCAATAAAAAGATGATATGCTTGAATAAGGACTGCCCCTTCAGAGGTCAACGAAGCCAAAGCAAAGCAAGTTTGCATGAGTTCACTGAAGTTCACAGTTGAAGTTTTGCAGGTGTGATTTATCGTGTAACACTGAAACGACTCTTTGTTGCCAAGTTCATTTAAACCGATGTAGATTCACTGACAAAGCTGTCATGAGATTTGTGAGGTTTCCTTCATTGACCATGCAAAACTGCAGTCCTGTAAAAGCACAGTGTGCACCAGAACCACTCTCTGAAAACATGTCCTACCCTTGAAGCCAGAACTACAGTCCAGAAATCTTTCAACAGCTGGACATCAGGGTTTTTTTAGGCGCTGGCACAACACCAGGCTTCCTCTGCAGAAAGAGAATTCAGGAAACTTCCAAGTCTTAACCCCAGCAGGGCCTGCAAACCTGCCTGCTCTTACCCTCCTGAAATCTGTGGTCACTTGAACTTAAAAGTGATGAAATAAATTAAACTTCGTGAACAAACTTTTAAGTTGGCCTGACCAACCTGTCGCTGTGAAATCCTAGGTGGTTGCCAAGGTGTTTGCATGTTGTACCGGGTGGTTGCTAAGATGTGGCTGAGCCATTTCTGTGGTATCTCAGGTTCTGCTAGGCCACTGCTATGATATATCAGGTGGTTACTAAGGTGTTGCTAGGCCATGCTATGGTCTCCCAGGTGGTTGCTAAGGTGTTGCTACCATGCTATGGTGTCAAAGGTGGTTGCTAAGGTGTTGCAAGGGCATTGCCATTATATCATAGATGGTTGCTAAGGTGCTGCTAAGCCATGCTATGGTGTCCCTAGTAGTTACTCGGGTGTTGCTAGAGCATTGCTATGGTCTCCCAGGTGGTTGCTAAGGTGTGGCTAGAGCATTGCCTTTATATCTTAGATTGGTTGCTAAGGTGTTGCTAAGCCATGCTATGGTGTCCCAGGTGGTTGCTAAGGTGTGGCTAGAGCATTGCTATGGAATCCCAGGTGGTTGCTAAGGTGTTGCTAGAGCATTGCAGTGGAGTTCCAGGTGGCTGCTAAGGTGTTGCTAGTCCAAGCTATGGTGTCCCAGGTGGTTACTAAGGTGTTGCAAGGGCATTGCTATTATATCAGGTGCCATGCTATGGTGTCCCAGGTGGTTGCCAAGGTGTTACAAGTGCATTGCTATGGTGTCCCAGGTGGTTGCTAAGGTGTGGCTAGAGCATTGCTATTATATCAGGTGCCATGCTATGGTGTCCCAGGTGGTTGCTAAGGTGTGGCTAGAGCATCGCTATGGTGTCCCAGGCAGTTGCTCAGGTGTTGCTAGATCATTTCTATGGTGTCCCAGGTGGTTGCTAAGGTGTTGCTAGTCCAAGCTATGGTGTCCCAGGTGGTTACTAAGGTGTTGCAAGGGCATTGCTATTATATCAGGTGCCATGCTATGGTGTCCCAGGTGGTTGCTAAGGTGTTGCGAGAGCATTGCTATGGTGTCCCAGGTGGTTGCTAAGGTGTTCCTAATCCATGCTATGGTGTCCCAGGTGGTTGCTAAGGTGTTGCTAGAGCATCGCTATGGTGTCCCAGGTGGTTGCTAAGGTGTTGCTAGTCCATGCTATGGTGTCCAAGGTAATTGCTCAGGTGTTGCTACAGCATTGTTATGGTGTCCCAGGTGGTTGCCAAGGTGTTACAAGTGCATTGCTATGGTGTCCCAGGTGGTTGCTAAGGTGTGGCTAGAGCATTGCTATTATATCAGGTGCCATGCTATGATGTCCCAGGTGGTTGCTAAGGTGTGGCTAGAGCATCGCTATGGTGTCCCAGGTGGTTGCTAAGGTGTTGCGAGAGCATTGCTATGGTGTCCCAGGTGGTTGCTAAGGTGTTGCAAGGGCATTGCTATGGTGTCCCAGGTGGTTACTAAGGTGTGGCGAGGGCATTGCTATTATATCAGGTGCCATGCTATGATGTCCCAGGTGGTTGCTAAGGTGTGGCTAGAGCATCGCTATGGTGTCCCAGGTGGTTGCTAAGGTGTTGCGAGAGCATTGCTATGGTGTCCCAGGTGGTTGCTAAAGTGTTGCAAGGGCACTGATATTGACGTTATTGATTAGGACATGCTCATGTGGGTCGTTTCAGGACACATCACTCACATTAATGACAGATTTGAGTCACTTACCTACACGAATGTGGAGGTAAGTCAGAAAGATCGGATCTGAGCAATAAATGGAAATTAAGCAATGGGGCTTGTAATGTGAAACTCTGCAACAGCGGCGGGAAACTGAGGGCTGGAGTCCAGCACAGTTTGTTGATTTCTCTGTTCTGAAACAACAGCTAAACCTGATAATTAACTGCTGAGTTGAATCAGGTGTGTTTGAGGAGGAAAAATGACCAACATCTGTAGGAATCAAGCCCTGGATTCACCACCCCTGCACATAATAATGAACCTTTCAGCAGAATTTAGGAAAAAGGTATAATTCTCCAGCCTGACAATAAAAAAAGGCTATTCCTCCTGATTTAAACAGTTTTTGCACAGCTATGATCAGTAATACCCTTAACAGAACATACTGTCCTAGAATGTACAGACCTTGAACATACTGTCACAGTGGCATTAGCATTTCTTACAAAATAGACAAATCTACAGACTGCCTGTGATTCTTATGCACTAAAAGAGCACAGCTGGGGTCAGAAGCCTGCTTGCACAGATTAGCAGCTTTAGAATAGCTTACCTTCCCACCAGGAACTTGATTTTTCAATTTAAACTTAAAACCTTTTATCTTGGACCTACTTAGGACTGTCTGCCTCCTTTTTTCATGAACTGTCTCTGACTGTTTTTCGCAGGAGCCTTAAAATGTTATTAAAATGAATTAAAATAAGGGTCTTCTATGCCTTTATTATGGTCCTCAAAGTCTTAAATGTGCAACTTGACTGGATGTAGCGTGTCTGATGTACATACCCACAAATTATGGTTGCAAAGGTTTCATCTTTGGTCAGCTGACTGAGGTACTTACAGTGTGAATTCAAATACATGAGTAATTGCAAAAACCCCCAAAAACGGGCATTAAGCCCATTGCGCTAATGGGTTTACATTGCAGTGCAATTGGAATTAAACAGGGCTTTAGAACTTTTATATTTAATAAACCTAAACTTGTAGATGACCCGTTTCAGCTTTTTTCCCCTTAAGTTTTACAGTCAGATTAGTAAATACACTTGTGCAAATGTTTGGGTGCCCCGGTCAGTCTACATGTTGATTTCTTAAGTGAAAAAACATTAACATAAATTAATCAGCTTCAACACATTTATAGACATTTATATCCACGATTACTGCTGACAATTTAACATTTTGGGGGGGGTGGAAATAAAGTGTGGCCTGTGCAAAATAGATGGCACATTTTACATTTCGTGTTTTTCCAATATGTTTTATGTTGTGTACTTAATTAATCTTACAAGGGAAAATTGTCATTTTGCTGCCTAATTATGCCCAGTCTGGGAGCGGCACAGTGCCACCAGCAGAGCAGCACAGCCCGGGGCAGTGGGGGGTTAAAGCTGCATTCAGACGGCAGAGTGTAATCCGGCCAAAAACGGCATTATGTCCAACGGCGCGAATCAAGTTGAAAAATGTTCAACTTCAGTAGGAAAGCTCATTCTCTGTCACTGTTAAAGAGGTAACTAATCAAAAAGAGAGGGCTGGGAAAACAAGAGTGTACAGTAGGACATTTTTGCTCACATTTGCAATTTAGAAAATGCTCAGCTTCTAGATAAATATCAATTCACTGGCATGCTTCCCATCCTCAACACCTATCACACAGGTTTGCTAAAAAACCTTGAGAAATGGACAGTGAGCACCCATCAGGACCATGGCTTGGTGAGTAGTTTAGTTTAATGTAGAAATAAGTAGTCTCTTTGCTAGTTGTGTTGTTGAAGGCACATGCGAACGTTTGCTTGTGTTTGCATGGGGTGATTAGGAAAATTAAACCTGATGGAAGTGCAATACATGCTAGAACCTTTACTTTGTCTGTTTAGTGAGATGAGTGATGTGGTGTTGAACTTCCTGCCCCTTACAAAGATCTGCTTCACTCCTTCTCTGGTTTGTTAAATATAGCCTTAGTGCATTGCCTAAGGGCACAACCATGTATACTCGGTCAGCCTTGGGATTTGAACCTGCAACCTTCTGGGTTCCACCTCCGAATACAGCCTAAGTGCATTGCCCAAGGGTACAACCAGGTATACTCTGTCAGTCCTGGGATTTGAACCTGCAACCTTCTGGGTTCCACCACCGAATACAGCCTGAGTGCATTGCCTAAAGGCACAACCAGGTATACTCACTCAGTCCTGGGATTTGAACCTGCAACCTTCCAGGTTGTATGTTAAACTCAGCGCGTAAACAGAATTTGTGTACTTAAATATTTTAGGAGACGCAATTTTTTACTTTGTAGAGGATGAGTTAACTTTCTTTCACAAAGAAAAATCAACAAAACATGTCATTTGACTGCGGGTATTCAACCTTTTGTGCACGACAGCATCATTCTTGACATTTATCTGGGAAACTTCTCATGACTGATGTGAACTTGTTACCTTTGTGTTTTTATTTTAGGCATGCGTATTTTGGTCACCTTGCTATTGGACACATTACCAATGCTGGGAAACGTTTTGCTGCTGTGTTTCTTCGTATTCTTCATCTTTGGGATTGTCGGTGTACAGCTATGGGCGGGGCTACTCAGGAACCGATGTTTCCTGGATGACGACGTGAGGATGTGAGTAGAGGCACTCCGCACACATTCATATTAAAGCAGAAAAACAACACAGCCCTCCCCGCACTCACACATGGCAGGTGCTTTTGTTTTAAGGCCACGTTCTCTCTATATCAGCTAGACGTTAACCTATTAGAACATACTGTCACAGTGGCTCTGGTTGTGCCTGAAGATTCTAGCCAGTGACATATCAGTTGCGTCTTGTCCCTGAACTTCTCGAAATCATTCTAGACTTTTTTGGGGGGAAGTTTGGAACAGAGATTCTCCTGAAACTCTGTAACCTTTCTGTACTGAAATGAAATATATAACCTACATATAAATTACACACTGGCACAGCAATAAACAGCTATGCTGCCAAGCCAGAAACGTCCACATTAGGAGTGATGACCCTGTCTGCATAACCGAACTGCAAGCTGTGCACCAGAGGTAGCGCGGTGACATTCAGAGAGTGGAAGCTCATAAATGTGTAAGGGCAAGGTCAACTAACATCTGTGAAAATGCCTTCTTAAGGGACATCTGGTAACGTGACCAATGATAGCACCTATAAAATTAAGATGGTCTCAGGCGTATGCTTTACATTTACACTTGTCTCAAATGTGCCGTGAAGGTGTTCGTTTAATACTGCTGGTCATGAGGTCATGACTCACATGGGCATGAACCTGCAACAGAGCAGCTAAACTATTTGCAGCGTAATCAGAGAATCCCTAAAAAGTCTTAAATAGCCTGTTAATTTGGGAGTTTTTGCCTCAAGGTAATGTAACGACATTGAATATAATGTATATGTAATGCGTTATATGTCCAAAAGTTTGTAGACACCTGTTTATCCTGCATTTCTTCTGAAATCAAGGGTATTAGAGGGTTTACTGTAGTAACAGCCTTTACTCTTCTCGGAAGGCTTTACACTAGATGTTGGAACATTGCTGTGAGGATTTGATTGCATTCAGCCACAAGAGTATTATTAAGCTCAGGTACTGATGTTGGATGATAAGTTCTGGGTCACTCCAACTCATTGCAAAGGTATTGGATGGAGCTCCATCACTCCAGAGAACACAGTTCCACTGCTCCACAGCCCAATGATGGGGATCTTTATACCCCTCTAGCCAATGCTTGGCACTGGGCGTGGTGACTTAACTTTTCTATGGAGATTACACAAGCTCTGTGCCAGCAGTGGGTGCACCTTAAATTAGCTGAACTCACAATTTAGAAAGGGGTGCCTGGATACTTTTGGACATGTTTTTATCCACAAGTTGTTGAAAATAGTGCTGCCTATTTAACCACACAATTCACCATCCATAGAGCTTTACTACAAACAGAAATATGGCTGTTAAGATTAATCTTCAGTAATCAGTGTCTTTCGTCTGGTGCTGTTTGCTAATAGCATCAGTTGTGTTCCTTTCATTATTAGTGTTTATCATGGCTGCACTAATAGTCTCTGAGCAAGTCTATAATTTTATTTGCCTAACGCGGTGAAGCGAAAGAGACCTTGTTGCATTGCCTTTTGCATTGCATCAGGCTCCAAGTACCTCCAGGAATTTTATTTTATTTTATTTTTTTGCTTCAAATACTTGTTGAATGCAGGTAGTGAAGTGTTTGTGGCGATTTTAGAGAGTACTTTAGCTAGAGATAAAAAAAACCCTTTCTTGAAGCCCAGTTACCCATCTTATTTTGGAAATATTATGAGAAGAACCAGTTCATTAAAAAAGACAATTATGCTTGGAGCAGTTGAAGGTAAAGACAAAGCAGATGGCTAGCATTAAGATGAATGGATACAATCAGGGAAATGATCAGCAGGCCATTAAGGGGCATAAAGACCCATACAGTATCCATACAGCACTGTGCAAAAGTTTACTCAGTTTATTTAATTTCCAGTAAAACCATCCATTAAGAATATTCATTTTTCAGCATCAGGAAAAAAGCAGAAAACGTACATTTATCAGAAAATTACATAGAAGCCTCAACAACTAAATATAATAGCATATTTTCAGTATTCACTGTGTCCACTTTTCACCTTTTATACAGCTTCCATTCTTTTCAGGAGACTTGCTTTCAGTTTTTCACAGACATCTGTAGGGATATTTTTCCACCCCTCTAAAGTTCAGTCTTAGAAGTTGGTTGCAATTTTTGCTTCACAGGATCCAATTAATCATGAAAACATTCAATGATTTTGAGGTCTGGACTCTGGGGTGGTCAGTCCATTGTTAATCCATGTCTTATATCTAATCTCCTCAGAAATATCATCTGAAAAATGGAACAGAGTACTTAATGGCCATTTTGACTAGAAATGACGTAAGTGAAGGGTGCTGTCAGTCTTTTGCACAGTATTGTATGGTTTCCAGGAGTCAGAAACAATTTGACGTCACTTGATAATTAATAATAATAAGCAGGTAGCATAAGTGTGAATGATACAGGCTAGTCTGAGAAATTAGATATATTGAATGTTACCTGTCCAGTTTTGAAAGGGACAACCATTATCTTTCATTATCTTGTCTGCTTGTCAAGAAGCTCCCACCAGACCTAGGCTCAGCTAGAGGTTCAGACCAGAATATCACACCCAAACCTGCAAATTGTCCAAAGAGAAATTGGATGTCATTTAGTAGCACTAGCAAAATAGCACAGTATTAGAGGAAGTTACAAAACAAATATATTCAACCCCAATTCCAAAAAACAGTTGTGTCAGTTTGTGAACTGCTAATAAAACCAGAAAGCAGTGATTAGTAAGTTCTGTTTGACGTGTATTACGAGATTATGAAATAAGAATGGATGTCCCTGAAAAAGACTGTGTCTAACAAGCAGCATGTTGCTCCAATATGTGTTCAGCAATAATGGTGCTTTACAGATGTGCAAGTTACCCACTAATCCCCCTGTAACGGGACAAAATGAGTCAGACGCATACAGACTGTTAAACCTGCTTTACTAGTTTGAGGAAGTTCCGAAGTCGTTGTCACAAAACAGGTCCAAAATCAGAAAATCACGATTATAACAAAGTCCAAGGGATCAGGCAAAAAGTCAAAATAAACAGAATGCAGAAGGAAACAGTAGCTCTTGTGACAGAAGCAATACCTCACAATTTGTCTAAACTAAAGCCTGAGCTTAAAAAGCTAACTAAGCAGATTGCATGATAAACAGATCAGGTGAGAATAATCAGCAGTCAGGCGAGGCTGATTTCGGATAGGTCGTGTTTAGTGGAGTCAGAGTCACGTGATCATCCAAGGGGTTCTGGAATTGAAGTCCATGCTGGAGGGATGCATGACACCCCCAAACCATGAAAGACATCCCCTGGCTTTCGAACTTTACACTAGTAACAGTCTGGATGTTCTTTTTCTTCATCCATTATTTCCATAAGAGTATTTCGGATCAGCTTGAGCCCAGAGAAGTCGGCGGCGTTTCTGGATGCAGTTGACATTGCTTTCCGCTGTGCGTTGTACAGTCTTAACGTGCATTTGTGGATGCAGTGACAGTGTTTACTGACAACAATTTTTCAAACTATAACGTCCATCACAGACCCATGAGGGTTTTTAATGCAGTGCCATCGGAGGGGTCAAAAGTTGTGGGCTTTAATTTGTGGTTTTCTGCATTTTCCTTTATACACCGAGATTTCCCTGGATTACCTGAATCTCTTGATGTTATTATGCACTGTAGAGCATGAAATACCTAAAAACCTTGCTAACCCTGACTGAGGAATGTTAATTTTAAGCTTTTGGATTTTGTTGTAGATGCCTTTTTGGCAAAAAGGGGAGCCTTGACCCATCCTCGCTCTTAAAGGACTAGGCTTTACCTGGAAGCTCCTTTGATATCCAAGCATGTTTGCATCACCTGTAAAAGACGGTTTTTGAACATTTCACAATATTTCTAGTGTTAAGTTGCCCAATTTTTTGGAACATATTGCAGGCATTAATTTCAGAATGAGCTTGTATTTATAATAAACAATGAATTTGACAAGGTATTGTTCAAATACAGGTCAAAGTAGATTTAGAAATCACTGCACTGTTTTTATTTGCATTTTACCTTCTGCCCCAGCATTTTTGCAATTAGGTTACATCTGAAAACCCACTTGGATGTATATTTGAAGCAGTGATTTCAGGCTTGGTAAGTGGACTCACAAAGTGAGTTCTGAGAACAAGGAAAGTCCGAGTTCACAGCACTTGATCTGGAAATATGTAGGTGTGCAGCGAGTTGAGCAACTGCTATATAAAGGCTTACCTGAACGCGAGTTCCATGAGCTGGACTTGACCGAATGGCTGCGAGAGAATAAAACCACTTATCACTTCTATCCCATATCACCTTGGGAGCATGTGAGTTTGAGGGAAAGATGAATATGACACCATTTGAGGCCACAGAGCCTTGAAGCCACATAATATCAGTGCTTTTGAGGGTCGACCATATTGCTCAGGGAGGTTTCACGCCACTATCTGTCATCCCCTTGTACGAGGTTTTATTACATCACTCTATGACTCTTTTTCGCTTCTCTTACTAGCTCTGAAGTTCTCCTTAATTGCATCTGCTCCAGTCAGAGAAGTGTTGCACAACAAATATATTACAGAAGCGTGTCTTGAGTGCACTGAAAGCAAAACAGAAAGAAAAGCATACAACAGTAGCTAATAACTAAGCAGCGATGAGTAAGACTGATCACATCTCTCTCTTTCTCTCTCTCCCCATCTAGGATGTACAACCTCTCTCAGTCTCTGAGCCCTTATTACAGATCAGAAGACTCCGACGACATCCCCTTTATCTGTTCAACCAATCGGGAGAACGGAATGCTGCGGTGCTCGGGCGTTCCGCCCCGCAGAGTGGGAGGGGTCTACTGCCAGCTCAGCGCTGACAATATCACAGACCACACCCCTCAAGAGACCGCCCAAAATGGGTGTGTCAACTGGAACGCATATTATAACAACTGCAAAGCAAGCGAGCACAATCCACACAATGGCGCCATCAACTTTGACAACATAGGATATGCTTGGATTGCCATCTTTCAGGTGCGTGTATGATATTTTGTATGTTTGTTACCAAAACAAACAACCAGAAAAAAATGTATATGAGGTATATGTTGTAAAGGGAAATATTTTCACAGTACATCGTTTATTTTATTGGGTCGTCAGTGTAACAGCATTAAATTGCATTTGAGCCTGATCAGTATCAATATCAATATTTAAACCTCGAGTATCGACCGATACCTATCCTAATTTTTTCCTGAAAAACTACAAAGCTTTAAGACGAGCTGTTTTATACTGAAGTACTTCACTTAACCCTGCGTTCACACTGGCAGTGAACAACATGACAAAGCGACCAGAGGTCATTCGTTTACAACGAGAGCTGGCGATTTCCGGCGACAGAAGGCGGTGCGAACGTTGGTGATGCGAAGTGGCCAGAATCAGGGAGTTTAACTTCTTTCAAATTAGGGGCGAAGCGATGTGTCGATTACCAATAGGAATTGAGCACTGAGCAGCGTGGTAAGCGCTTTCTCCAACCCTGTGAGGCAGTACAGTCCTTTATTGGTTCCTAGGTAATTGTTCCTACTAGAGATAAAATAATGGCAGCAGTGCTTTTGCTGCAAATGGACGGTTATCGCAAAGACCAAGTACTATTTTCCTCACAAACTGACTAAATAAAATACGCACACAAGTGATTTCTCACCAGGTTTTGTTATTTTTAGCGGAAACACCTCTGATTTGTGCGATCAGTGATTTGGGCGACAAGAAGTGAAAAGTCGCTGCTGGTGTGAAGGCAGGGTTCGGTGAGCATCCGCAGTCATCCATGGCCAAGAACCCAAGAGCGTATAATTGGCCTCACTCTCTCTGGATGGTTAGGATGGCCCGCCCTCTCCTCCATCACCCAGCACACATGAACGCACGTGATCTCGTACCAGTCTTGCAATGGTACGCTCGTCAGCATTGTCTGTCGGACAAAAAGCCTGTGGATGTAGCCTGTGTTAGCATGGCTGAAGACCTCCCAACCCCCCAAAACATAAACATTACCTCTTGCAAAGGAAAAGCAGCTAGTTAATTCAGCTTGCAGGCTTATTTTACTCGTGTTATCAGTTGCACTCCGAATGTTAAAAGAGCACAGACAAGAGGGATTTGGGGACACACCTTGTTTGTGGCGGATTTGTCCACAATCGACCACCCAAAAGTTTAAAAAGTTTTCCCCAGATGTGTATTCTCGTTATAAGATCAATTCTTGCCCCACGAGACTAGCATGACACTAGCCAGTGTAGGCAATTGTTGGCTGATGTAACAGAATTGGCAGTTAGTGTTCTCCTCCAAGCGTGTTGAGCAGTCCAATGACAAAAAGATGTGGTGTCGCTTCACATTTCTCAGAGGCTATTGACATGACTAAATTGGGCTAAAATCCTTTTTTGTTATTCCATGTCTGCCACTATAACACATTTCACCACATGGGCAGGTATTTAGGTTCCGCTTTCCTTAACATTCCTCCACAAATTTAGGTATTAGCTAGATGAGTGTGAGGTACAAATTCTATAGTTCTGTTTAATTATTTTGGGTAACATGACGGTAGGGTCTAAGTCAGTCTAACTAAATAACACTGACATGCCCAACAGGTGTAAACCCTTTAAAACCCCAGGCTTATTACATGGAAAGACTTTTTAGTCAGTAACTACAGGAACTTCAATTACCTTAGTTAACTGAGTAAGTGTGAGGGACAGACTCCACAATGTGTAATGATTTTTGGGTAAGTACAAAGAGTTTTACATAGTACCTTTTCTGTATTACCTGTAAACGACACTGAATCTGGACTGTAAAAGAAAGCAGTGATTCCTGCTGTGTTTTACTGGGTCTTAAGCGTTTACTTCAGAAAATGTCTTGGACTTTGGGTCATCAGTTTATGCCCTATAACTACCTTGTACTTGGAGATGTTTCCCATTTCTTTAACTTCCAATTAACTTTCTGTTTATACATTACAGGGAAATTTAGTGAGAGTTCAGTGGCACTTACCACCTCGTTACCCCAAATCATTAAGCGGTATTTTCATATGTTCTTCATCAGCTTAATTACTAAAGCTGGTAGTAACTTCAGTGTAACTTCAGACTGTCTTGATATTTGCCATCATTTCACCCAAAATAAATACACAGAACTTTAGAGTTTGTATTTCACACTTACCCAGTTAATACTTTCACACCTGTTGGACATTTCAGTGTAATTTATCTTCAAACTTCGAATTATTGCATTATCTCATATTATCTCAAATTATTTTCACACTTACCTGGTTAAAACCTCACAGTGAAAGAAAGTGTTACTGGTATTTAACAGTTTTAGAAAAGTTCTCATGCGGAAAGTACTTCAGCCCTGAAGACCCGATGGAGCTTGTAAGCCAGGCTTATTCATCTCCTGTCCTTCAGGGTCAGTTTTGAAGGGGAGTTCCCAAACTGTGCTGGACATCGGCCCTCCAGGACTGGAGTTGAACACCGCTGTTGGATGTGTTCTTGTTGCAGGGGAGGAAAAGTGATTCAAATTAAACCTTTTTATTGTGCTTCGTGCTATTTATAAAGATTCTTTCATTATTTTTTTGCCAAGTGCGAAATACGGTCTGGCAGCCGTCGATAGTTTTCATCCTCGTCTCCCTCACATCTTTCCGGAGCCAAGAGACACTTAGTTTTATTGTAGGAAAATTAAGTGAACAGTTGCTGGTGGCAACAGTGTGAGTAAATCAATTGACATCAATAAGCAACACCCCTATCTCAGGAAATCAAGTATTTATCATGTTTCTCACTAATCAGATTGGTTGTGGCAAAGATATTCATCATGTTTTGGAGTTTCCGGGTTTCCCGGCTGAAAGTGATTTATCACGTCCTGAATAATCTTATTGGCTAAAGCGTGACATTTGTCATTCTCCAGATTAATCTGATTGGCCTGCGTTGTTCGAGTGATCTATGGCAGCCCTAGATAACCTTCGTCTTTGGGCCGTGCATTGAGCACTAAGACACAAGACACCACAATGGCAGACAGTCATGCCTGTCAGAGGAGGAACAGAGGAAAGAATTTCAAGGGGAATCGTGCTGATTTTCTTTCACAGTTTCTGTATACTTTAGTCGTTGAGATGTAAACAAAGCCTGCCTCACATTGCCCTGCATGTACAGTAAGTTAAATAACCCTTCATTTATTTACTTTCATTATTCATTTCTGAGGAGATTAGATGTTAGATAATAAGGAAGAAGAAGGCCGAAGGACTCCTAAGTTAAAGCTTTCATCTCTGAGAGAGAGGAGAAAATCAAGCTGCTTCAGATCTGAAAACATCCACAGGTGTTTCTGTCCATCCTTCCACTGTGAGAAGACGACTCAGCGCTGTGGGTCTGAAAGGATGTGTAGCTGATCAAGAAGAACCTCACTGAGAAAAGGAGACGGACACATCAAACAAAGAAGCCGAACGATGGACTGACCACCCCAGAGTCCAGACCTCAACATCACTGAATGTGTTTGATTACTTCAGAAAATGATCAACCAGCTTCTAAGACTGAACTTTGCAGGTGTGTCTGCAGATTCTTTGAAAAACTGAAAGCGAGTCTCCTGAAAAGAATGGAAACTGTAATAAAGAAAAGGGGTGGACACGCTTTAGTCGTTGAGTCCTCTGTGAAATGATGGGTGGCCTCTGACTTTTGCGCAGCACTGTAACTAATCTCATGTCTCAGGCATCAGGGAACATAAACATAACCATTTAGTGTAATAACTTTCTGTGAGGGAGCTTTTAGAGGCATTAAACTTTTGGGACATCTGGCTCATTGTCACCACTGTTGGGAACAGTTCTGACTCTAGAACGGCACATCGAACCACTCTGAATGACTCTGTTTACAACTTAGTTCTGCAGAAAAGTTGAAAATGGTTCAGTTTAGTAGGGTTTCTTTATGTTTGTTGTTTTTTAAAAGGAAGCCGACCTCAATTCGCCTCTTCTTTCCTGTCTGTGCTGTCTATAGGTCATCACTTTAGAGGGATGGGTGGATATCATGTACTATGTCATGGACGCACATTCCTTTTACAACTTCATCTATTTCATCTTCCTCATCATTGTAAGTATACAGCATTACTGTTGACTTCTGAGTGTGGAAACATGTTGCATGTTGCCTGGTTTTAAAAGATCGATAAGGAATTGCTGCAACTGGTAGGCCAGTTTTGCTTACCTTGAAAATATACTGAAAAATCACACAAACACACTACACACTTCTTATCCCCTGCTTAACACTTAAAAGGCTAGAATTCCTATGAGAATGACCATAGAGGTCACTTTGACTGTTTGCGTTTTGCATGCTTATTTATACCACGACAGGGAATTACTACAGAAATCACATAAGCACAATGCAGTGCCTTTCAATAAGTACTTAAATTAGTGCTTGTTTAAGTGCTTCACAAACAGATGGGAACAGCGAGAAAAAAGCTGGCTTGCGGGGATGAAACGCAGTGTATTGCCCAAGGTCGTTATATTTCTACGAGGTAGAAATGCTCAACTTTTTTTGTGCTCTGTAAAATTGACAAAACATTGTCAGCCTAAAATATAAACTTGAGGAAAAAAAAATCCAGGAACAGTGGATATAGCTGGTCAATTTTGTCAAAAATGATCACATCTGAAAAGTACAAAATGCTCAAAATGACCATTTTGGCCTTTCTAATGTTAATATCCTCACTGATCATTGGGTTTAGAATGTTTTACCTTCTTTGCGTCTCCGTCGCTATGTTTGTATATTGATTCTGCTTCTCTGTAGAGGTAGTTACGGGAGAATAAAGGAGTGCTCAGGATTCTACACTGCAAGCACTTTACACCTTCCTTTTTTGAAAAACATGCGACCAGAATTTTGCATAAGGATCACTCATGTGAGGACAGATTTTGACCCCAGTAGCCCACCTCTTCATTATGCATATTCATTACGCGTGAATACAGACGTGCAGATTTTTTCCGATGATGCGTGCCTCTGGCCTTGAATGCTACTATATTCACAGGGCATGATGAGAAAATTGGCCACCCCAAATGTGACAAGAAGCCAGACTAACCTGCTAAATGACTAGCCTGCAGAGCCTCATGGTTTGGTTAAGAGCTGCTATTTTACCACAAGACCCAAGACCTGTCTCCTCCTCCTTTATAATGTCCTCCAGTCAACAGCCCCTGTCCTAGCATATAAGTTTAGCTTATAAGACACTTATAAGGTGTCATTTCTGCTCTTTTCTTGCTGCTTCTCTGACAGGGTCTCTTCACAGTGTAGTCAGGTGTCCAGTGTGGGTTTTGATCCTCATTGTAAGAAGCATTAGCAAATTCTTTAGCACAGAATCTGTGTATCTACATTGTAGAACCTTTTTATGTAGATTTGAAAATAGATAGGTCCAGTTGCAGTTTGCTTGGTCACTGAGGCACACTGCAAAAAGACTGAAATTCATAGAACTCTTAGAACTGATAGAACATATCCTCGCTGCCAGAACAGAACCTCGTATCTCCGAAATGGTAACTTTTCAGGAGAAAAAAAACATTAGAAACTTTAAATGGAAGTTAATGGAACAGGATTTTGTTCCAAGTTATTTTGGACGATTTATTTAGCTATATATTAAAAAAAAGCCAAAAATGGAGATACAGCGCTTTGTTCTAGGTACTAAATTGCCACTGGGGTGGTAGCCTCTATGATACATCTTCAGTACCTTTAGTTAGGGAACATAATCTGACAATAATCCATTGTAGTTATATTTTGTAGGTGGTATTGACCCCACACACCCTGTCTTGTCTCCAGCCCTCGTATTCTGTTTTGACACATTAGGTTGTGAAAGGGTACAAAGACGTATCTTTGCCCTGGGAAAAACTAATTTATGGTACACAGTTGGACATGAAAACCATTGTTGTAGCTTGGAAGGAACATTGTACATCATTTGTACCTTTGCACCTGCAGGGAACCTTTTATTTCTGAAAGTGAAGGAATGTGTTTAGAAGGCTTAAACTTTTAAACATTCTGTTCAGAGAAATAATACATTTTATTTCTAATTTTCTTTCTTGAGAAGAGCTCTGTTTTGAGTAGTCAATAAAAGTATACCCCGAGCAAAGGTACCCCAGATTTTGTAGGGATTCTAGGTGCAGCAATTCTACTTTGTCGTAAGGCTTCCGGTCTTAAGTGCATGCAATTAATGTTAAAAATGAAGCTCAGCAGCGCTTGGCCCCCGACTCTACATTACAAGCTAGACGATGATTTAGCAGTGGATTCATGAAAATCGTTTAAGAGCATCGTAATGGAGGCTAATGGGGAAAGTGTCATGTTTGGCGGAATTTATGTGAACTGTTTATTATCCACATATTCCTGGGAAAGAGCAGATCCCGCCGCATGATTTCACTCTGAGAGGTTTTAGGCATTCACCAGTTTACCTGTTAATTACAGTTTGTGCGACAATTCCTAACAAAACGCTTATTTTGTTTTTCTTTTACTTGCCCTTAGGTGGGCTCCTTCTTCATGATCAACCTGTGCCTGGTCGTCATAGCAACTCAGTTTTCGGAAACGAAGCAGCGCGAGAACCAGCTGATGCGGGAGCAGCGGGCTCGCTTCCGCAGCAACGAGTCGACGCTTGCTAGCTTGACCGAGCCTGGCTCCTGCTACGAAGAAATGATCAAGTACCTGAGCCACCTCTGCCGCAAGCTCGGCCGGCAGGTCAGCCGCGTCTACGGCAGGATACGGCCGTGCCGGCGGACCAAGAGCTCCAGCCCCAGGACCTCAGCGGCAGGAGGGGGCTCCAACAGACACTGGAGCAGCAAGGAGAAATTTGACCTGACCCGACACCTTATACACCACCATCACCACCGGCACCACTGCAACGGCATGGACGTCGGGACATTGGAAATGAAGGCCCTTCAGTTGGGTGGTGAAGGTCAGACCCTCAAACAGACTCCCCCTCTCTCCCTTGCTTTACCCAGCGTAAAGGGTTTGAACTACCCCACCATCCTGCCCTCTGCACTTTTCACACACTCACGCACAAACCCCGGCTGCGCAAGCGGGGTCAAGACCCCTGCGGCCAGCCACTCACAACACGGCAGGACAGTCCACAGTGGGTTCCACGAGACCTACAACAAAGTGCAGCATGGTGAGAACATGCACACGCATTTACATACAACAATGCATGTGCTGCTTTACAGCTATTGGTATTATACAAGAGCAGGACACTGCAGCCTTAAAGGTGGACGCTTCCTAGCAGGAGTGCGATGGAGAACATTAAGTGCTCGTCTCTCTCCTGAGACTCAACTTAATAATGTAGATAATGAAGACATTTCCACACAGTACACTTCATATGCTCTAATAATTCTAAATTAGAAACGACTACGCACATTCTTAAACACAGAGAGAGACTCTTTCTGCGACTACTTTTGTTATTTCCAGTTAATTTCGCTACCTTACTTGCAAAATAGGTTAAAAAGAAGCTATTTTGCTCTTTTACTCTTCTCATAGTTTATTATTCTGTCTGATAATTGTCCAAAACTTGGTATTTCCTGCTCTGGCTTATCAGGTTTTACAGAACATAGACTGTATGTTTATTTCTCAGTATCTACTATGAAACTGATATTTATCTAATGTAGATATGAGAGTGAGGGACGTCAACTTTGGCCTATATATAGGTTTTTGCAGCTATAAAAAGCAGTTTATCTGAAGTGAAATGAGGGCTGTTTTATAAAAGGTCTGTGTAAAAGTACTTTCTGAGGACCATACGAGGTATTACCATTCCAAAAAATGGTATCTGTTGTTTATAACATACTTTATAAACCATTGGTTTACATTTTGCTGTCTAGTTTATAGCAATTCATTCTACAATGTAGAAGTAACTGATCAATTACTATTATAATGACGAGTGATTCCAGTCCTTGGAGAAGTCTGTGTAAAAGCACTGAATAAGGACAACTTTAGAAGGATGAAAGGTCTATGTAAAAGCACTGCATAAATAGCTTTTTCTGTCTGTGCAAAGATGTTGAATAGGTACCAATTTATATAGGCATGAAATAAAGACAATTTCATGTAAGGTCTATGTAAAAGCATTGAATGAAGACCAAGTAATATGAGATCTATGTAAAAGTCATGTATAAATACTGCTTTGTACAAGGTATAAAAAGCCCCGCATGGGTACCATTTCAAATAAGGTCTATGTAAAAGCAGAGATAAGTATTATTGTATACAAGGTTCTGTGTAAAGGCACTAAAGAAAGACTATTTTAGATAAGGTCTATGTAAAAGTCCTGCATGCGTACCATTTTATATAAGGTCTATGTAAAAACAAAATACCATTTTACATAAGGTCTATGTAGAAGTAAAGATAAGTACCATTTTATGTGAGGTCTATGTAAAAACAAAGTACCATTTAATATAAGGTCTATGTAAAAGCAAAGATACATACCATTTTAGGTAAGGTCCATGTATAAATAAAGATAAGTACCTTTTTATACAAGGTCTATGTATAAACAAAGATAAGTACCATTTTATACAAGGTCTATATAAAAACAAAGATAAGTACTATTTTATATGAGGTCTATATAAAAGCAAAGCTATGTGCTATTTTATATAAGGTCTATATAAAACAAAGATAAGTACCATTTTATACAAGGTCTATGTAAAGGCACTGAATAAGGCATTGAATGTGTAAACAAAGATAAGAAACATTTCATGTAAGTCCATGTAAAAGCAAAGATAAGTACCATTTTATATTAGGTCTATATAAAACTAAGATAAGTACCATTTTATATAAGGTCTATATAAAAACAAAGATAAGTACCATTTTATATAAGGTCTATATAAAAACAAAGATAAGTACTATTTTATATGAGGTCTATATAAAAGCAAAGCTACGTACTATTTTATATAAGGTCTATATAAAACAAAGATAAGTACCATTTTATATAAGGTCTATGTTCAAGCACAGAATAAGTACCATTTTATTCAAGTTCTATGTAAAGGCACTGAATGTAAAGACAAATAAGAAACATTTTATGTAAGTCTATGTAAAAGCAAAGTGCCATTTTATGTTAGGTCTATGTATAAGCAAAGATAAGCACCTTTTGGTATAAGGTCTATATAAAAACAAAGATTAGTACCATTTTATACAAGGTCTATGTAATGGCACTGAATAAGGACATTATATTATATGGTCTATGCAGAGACGCTGCTGTTGTTGTTTACACAGTTTGACTTCACCCCTCTCCTTTGCCCTGGTCTAGGTCTGTACCCAGATGTGTGCTCCAGTGCGTGCGTGGAAGGCGGCGCTGGTCTGGCACCTGGTGAGTTTTCTCCGTGCCCGATTTGCGCCCCCGAGGGTAGCGGTGTGACCTGCGACTCCGAAAGCGACTCGGACACGGAGAAGCGGAGCTCCAGGGGCGCGGAAGTGAAAAAATTCAGCTGGGATGCGGAGCTGAGGGAGAAACCGACTGAGAACTGCTTCGGCGTTTGTGTGCGCTGTGCCAGAGCGGTACTGAAGAGAATCGTGGACAGCAAGTACTTCAACAGGGGGATAATGTTTGCTATCCTCATCAATACACTCAGCATGGGAGTGGAATACCACGAACAGGTGACGCACACACACACAGATGGGCGCATAAATATATATATATATATATATATATATATATATAAGCATGTACGCTCGCACACACAAGCACACAGTTTTCTGCTTATAAATTCATAAGTGCACAATCACAAAAATCCCAAAGGCCAGTTTAAATGAGACAGAGTAGCCATTCTACTAGATCTAGAAATAATTTGGCTGCCTACATGAGTTCATAATACATGCGCAAGCATTAAATAACATATTTAAAAAGCAATACTTGAGTATTTCTGAGTATTTGAATATTCTTAAATTTCACACACAGAGCCAACAGTATCCTAGTTAATCTGATAACAGAGTTACAGTTAAAAATATACAATCCCATTTCCAAAAAAGTTGGGACGCTGTGCAAAATGTAAATAAAAACAAAATTCAATGATGTGCAAATCATTTAAATCCTATATTTAGTTGAAAATGCTTCAAAGACAACAAATTAAATATTGAAACAGAAATTTTATTGTTTTTTGAAAAATATATGCCCATTTTGAATTTGATGCCAACAGCACGTTCCAAAAAAGTTGGGATGTGGGCATATTTACCACTGTGTTTCATCACCTCTTCTTTTAACAACACTCTGTTAGTGTTTGGGAACTGAGGAGACGCTGCTATAGTTTTGAAAATGAAATGTTTTCCCATTTTTGCTTAACAAAAGATTTCAGCAGCTCAACAGTTCAGGGTCTCTTTTGTCCTATTTTTCATTTCATAATGTGCCAAATGTTTCAGTGGGTGACAGGTCTGGACTGCAGGCAGGTCAATTTAGCACCTGGAATCTTTTAATACAGAGCAACGCTATATATATGCAGAATGTGGTTTGACATTGTCTTGCTGAAATAATCAAGGCCTTCCCTGAAAAAGACGTCGTCTGGATGGCAGCAGATGTTGCCAAAACGTATATATCGTTCAGCATTAATGTTGTCTTCACAGATGTGCACATCCCCCATGCCATGTGCACTAATGCACCCCTATCATCATGAATGCTTCAAATTTCAGCAGCTGTTCTGTTTATAGTGCTCATATGAATTAACACAATTATCTGCTTAGCCCGTATGTAGTCGATCATCCAAGATTTGTTAGGTGTCTAAATTTTGTTTAGCGCTGTAGCTAACAAACAATGAAAGTCAACTGTCACCCAAATATGAATAAAGAAGTGACATTCAATCAACACCAGTGAATATGGAATAAAGAAAATTGAACTTGGCATTTTTACAGACATAAAATGTTGATGTGTAACTTAATCTTGCATAATAATACTGAATTATAAAACAAGTAGTTCCAGTTCTAAAATCTGATTGGCTGAGCCGCGTTCAAAGCTGTTGCAAAATCACTCCTATGACCGCATCACAGCGACTGAACAAACCTTTGGATGGATATCTCATTTTTACAGGGTCTTTTCGCTGACAGTGGCTTCAAGGAGAACCACAGCATGAAAAAACCCTTATGCTGTTAACAGAATATTCTTTGACTCTCATGCTGGTCACATGAACCACTGAGTGTACTGAAGAAGCAAGAACCTGTTTTTGTTTAAACTGAGGGGCTGACAACTTATGTTCTGAACTTGAACCAGGCTGGTCAGCTCTCTAACAGGCTAAAAGAGCCACCAGCCCAAAACAACTCCATCATTAATATCACAGGCTTGAATTAAAGTAGTTTAATTAACTGTAAAATGGCAGTATAAAAGTCTAAAAAATGTCACTTAAATGACTTACACGCTTCAAACGTCTGTGTTTCGGTCAGTTGTACCATCAAACCCAGGCTGAATCCCAAACGGCTCCATACTACCTGAATAGTGCGCTAGCTACGAAAGTTTAGAAATTGTAGCCTCTGCAGCCAAATAGTGCATCATTATTGAGTGTGTTTGAGTCCCAAATGACTGTTTTAAGCTATATCATGCACTGTTGCGCTGCAGGATCCGGTATTTAATACCTACATAGTGCACTATGTAGGGAACTGGAAGCCATTTGAGATTCAGCCCCAGTGTGAGAAGAGGTGCTAAATAAGACTCATGGTGTTAATTTGGTGACTAAAAAGTTCTTATAAAGTGAAAGTTTTTGTATTAAACAGTGCTGTGTTATCATATGTTCATTGTTATACGACAAAAAGTTACAAAACTAATGAAATGACTGCAATATACAGCAATGGGAGACCGAATGTTCTCATTTAGTGGTCCGTGGTTCCTTGACTCTAAAGGAACTACATTTATTGTTATTATTATTATTATTATTATTAATAACCTAAATTATTTTCTGAAAAATGGTGTATTTTATCATGTTTTATGTTGGTCACCATTTCATAAAAGCAATGAGCCACTTGAGGCCGTGCGTTACAGTGATTTTATCGCAGGGAAGGGAGTTTTAGGCGTGACAACATCGCAGTAACGCACGGCCTCAAGTGGCTCATTGCTATTACTCACTGGTTATGCATGTGTTATGAGGTCCCAGGTAACCTTCAAAGAAAGTGTGACCAACAATTTTAAAACTAAAATGGACATTTAGAGCATCATTTATTACAGAACGCACACACACACTAGCAGAGCTCCAGTGGGTGTACGGTGTGACTTTGCATCTGCTTGTTAGTCCTGTTTTACTAGTGCAATGACTCATTCTTTGGATCAATGCATCAATTTGAATTTCTGGCAGTTTAACTGCATCGATCCCCAAATCACGGAATCACATCAGAGCGCTCGTACGTTGAATCAAACATGAACGTTTGAACAGAATTAATTGGATCGATGTGGTATTTCAAAGAAGAAAAAAAACCAAGATGATTTCAGAAGGAAATGCCAGCTGCCGGCTGGACAGGACGAGTGTTATCCTCAAGCCTGCGCTGCATACATTTGTGTCCTGCTTTCAGAAGCCTCCCGATGGAAGCTGCAGCTCGTGCCTAAGCTCGAATTAAATCGTTCAGCTCAGTATTATTCGTAAAGCTCTTCTCACAATAGACAGTTGTCACGAAACAGCTTTACAGCGTTCGGTGCCCAGACCCCTAATGAGGGAGCCGAAGGCGACAATGGCGACGGGAAAACTCCGTGAGCTGGCGTAATGAAAAAGCCTTGAGAGGAGCCAAGACTCAAAACAGGGACTGTCCTCCTCTGGACAGCAGCGGATAGTGGGGCTTTAGGCGAAGGAGACGTGGATGAAATTTCTATAAGCAGGATTGAAAGGAGCAGGAGCCGTGAGATTATTCCTCTGTGTTGTAAGTCTGCAGTGTTAAAAGCACAGAAGGAGAAGATGAAAGAAATACGAGCACAAGGCAGATTGGGAGTCAGATTTGGAAGGTCGTGATGCATTTTCTCAAGGTGGAGGTTCAACCGTATGAGGTGGTGAATGTTAGATATATATCAGCTGTAACTGAACATTAGGGAGGCACCGATTATTAATTTTTATGGCCAATTCTGATTCCTTTACAGCTTTATGGCTGATTTTGTGGCCTTTTCTGCCTAAAACTCACTGCTGCATCATTTAAAGTAGAACTGGAAATGAGAAGCTAACTTTAGCTCCGTCTAATCTCTGTCCACTGTGTGAGACTCAGTTACAATCAGCAAACCAGGGCTGGAGCACTTGAGGTCAGGGGGCTGCTGGTTTAACCCCTAAATCAAGAGGTACTTAATACGGCTGAAAGTTTAATCATTTTTATATCAAAGTTGCAGTTTAAGAAAGTGCAGTTTAATTGCAATAATTAATTAAATAATATTTTGCAATAATTTACAAATTATACATCATTGACAACATTGTTTTAAGCTTTAAGGAGGAAAATTTAACTTTGTAGCTTGTGAGCTGTCTGGAGATGAGCTAGACCAATCAGAGGCAACCAAACCTCCATGTGCTGTGACATCACACCCACAAGTTACCGGCAGTCTGGCGCACTACATTCAGGGGTCAAGCCTCAAGCCAGAAAGGTTGATATTCTGGTCTTCTTGGCCAAAAAAAAACAGGCCTGAACCTTAATTTTTAGAAAATAATCGCAATTTAATTCGATATTAAAAAATTCCAACTAGATATTTTCCCCCAAACCATTCAGCTCTAGTCTTTACTCATTAAAGAACCTTAATTTAATTACGTTTTTGTGAGATTTCAACCCCTAGGTGCTCTCGGAACAGCCTAACAAGGAAAGTAACACTTTGTTAGACAACAAATCTGCTGTTAGAAAGAGACGAGCGTTTCTTTCCTCAAAAGAAAGTTAGGCTCGGTGCCTCAGAGTTTCAGTCGGATGAGTCCACAATTTAGGTGCCATTAAGTCCTTGTAAATGTTGTGAATGATCATTTTTCAACATTGAATCTAAGAAAACATTAACCATTCTCAAAACCTTGGATGGATATCTCATTTTTACAGGGTCTTTTTGTTGACAGTGGCTTAAACGAGAAACAGGGTTGAAAGCAGCACTAAATTAGCAAAATGTGGTTAGCTAGCATCCTTGCTAATGGCACGAGGACTTTGTGGACATTCTAATGATGGATGTATTGTTTTAATGAATAATTTACTTTTAGCTTATAATTTGAATAATGGGGTTGAGCTTTCAATGTGACCTGTCAGTATCACAATATCACAATAGAAAATTTAGAGAACTGGTTTTCCTTCTTTCTTTGATATTCTGGAAATTGGGATGATGCAAACTCCCAAGGACTGGTGACGGGTGGAATATTCCAGATATTTCATATTACAGATGTTTCGTTCAGGGGTGAATGAGTTCAGCTTACATTCAATTTGTCAAACACAAGGTCAAGTCAGTCCTATTTGTCCCGCAAAATTATTTTAATTTTCTATTAATATTAGCCCATGTCACCATGAGCTGCACTGTAGTTCCCAGCATGCACTGCAACGTGATGTGTGCTCCCACCCCCTCCCCATCAGTGATCCATTGGACAGCACCAAAAAAAAAGAAGTATCTAGTTCAAGTGAATGGGCAGTTTTAAAAAAAAACACTGTACATTGGGGTCATTTAAAGAGGTTTAACAGTATCTGCAGCT